GTTAATTCGTAAAATTAAGAATCCACACTCGCAAGTGCATTCTCTGACTTAAAACATTGCGTCCAAAGAAGCATTGTCACGAACTGTTGAGTTGAGTGGAGATAAAGGCATGCACTCGTACCATTATCAACTTATATAAGGGACGTTTGCGTGAATTCGTAATGATTTAAGCACGGCACGATTAAAAACCATGAAATCTGAGTTTTTAGTTGCTCGTCAAAAGAAAAGTTACATTCTGGTGTGTTTTCATGAGGAGTGTGTTTTTGTATCTTCGCGGTCCGGCGAGGCCCCGATGAATGTTTTTACTAGTGCAGAGTTATCGAGGTGATGATAGGAGATGCTGTCTGTGCTCTGTTTCGATTTTCTCAATGTGTCAAAGAACTTCAATCTTGGAGGATCTCTAATAAACTCCGGATAAATCCAGATAAGACAAACTTTCTCCTACTCACTTCAAACATCTCCAGAACTACACTTTTAACCTTGGTGGTGTTAAAATTCACCCTTCCCCCTCGGTCAGGAACTTACGTGTTGTGTTTGACCATGACACGGAAATGTCTGATGATATTACACAACTTTGTCGCTCTCTCAACTGGCATATTCGCAACCTTAGTCGCAACAGGAAATTTCTTGACTTCAACTGAATGCTTGTCAAAGTGCTGTCCGTGCCCTGATTCTATCGAAGCTCGACTATTGCTGGCTTTTGCTGCTGTCTGCTAAACGGAGTTTCTAAGAAAGACATATCTCGTCTTCAGAGACTTCAAAACAGATGTGCTAGACTTATCTTTCAGACGGCCTAACACTCCCACACCTCTCCTCTGCTCAAACAATTACACTAGCTCCATGTCGCCCAACGCATTCAGTTCCGCACATTGGTACACACTTACAAATCACTGAAACACTCTGCACCAGATTATATCTCCTCTCTTCTCACCCGTCCTTACTCCCTTCGTTCTTCTGCGGGAGAGACCCTTTTTATCCCCAAATCACGTAAACAGGCTGGTGACAGGGCGTTCTCCTGTGATTTTATTTGACAGGGCGTTCTCTGCATGCCGCCCCTACTTACACTCTAAAAAATAGTTGCTCAATATTGGGTAAAATTACTACCTTTTCGAGAGTAAAAAGGGAACAAGGTCGTCAACTTGTGTACTTTTTTTTACACAACAGCTAAAGTTCAGAAAAGTACCCATTTTAGTGTAACTTTTACCCATCATTGTGTTACGTGTTTGCACAACAAAGTTGGGTAAAAAAGTTTACCCATGTGATGACCATGTTCCCTTTTTACTCAATTATTGGGTAAACTTTACCCAACCCTCCTTTTACCCAAGTGTTGTGTCAGTTTCTTACCCAGATATTGGGTTCTAATTTTTACCCTGCACTATTGGGTTCTAAATTTACCCATCACTTGGGTTGTTTTTGAATTAGTTGTTGTGTACCTTTGTTATTGACCCTTGCGGTTTTATTCAACTTGTATCTCTGCAATGTGAATTGCATGCTAGAGACAGCAATCGCGAGGGATTTCAATAACTGAGTCCTGGGTTGGAAAGTCAGTAAACTGAATAAGATGATATTTCCCCAAATATGGTGCTGATGCATGAGGACTATTACAAGGAACGTGGGCTAAATGATGGGCAGGGGTGCTAGAATTTCCCTCAATCAACTCACTCAAAAACAATTTCCCAAATGTCGGTCAGTTTGCTCCGTGTTTCTAGATCTGAGAACACTCACTATACGGTTCATGAAACGCATGCATCATGTGCATGGAATCGTGGTTGGCAGAGCCGTGACGTCCAAGTTGCAAATAAATGTCTAAATAATAAGCATGTCACTTCTCCAATCTCCCCGATATTAATCCTCATACATCAGCATCCCATTTGGAGGAAACAACACTGAAATTAATTTCACTGACTTACCGGGAACAAAGAAATCACGTCATCAAAATCCCCAAATTGTTGAAGGTCTCACAAGCGGCGGCCATTTTGTACATGAGTGATTACGAGTGCACAATATTGGGTAAACGTTGTCACGTGCGTCAGTTTACCCCACACAGTGGTAACATTTTACTAATGTCGTGGTAAATTCTACTCTTCAACGTGTACAATGAAATAATTGTTACACAGCGGTGGGGTAATTCCAGTTTCTTTAACCCATCACTTGGGTAATAACACCATGATTTGAACTCTTTGCCTGTGCTGCAGGGACTTGTAGTCAATGTTGGGTACTATTTTACCCTTTTCATGTGTAGCACATTTGACACAAGTAGAAGGTACAAGCGAAATTTTCATTTTGCTCAATATTGGGCAGAAATTACGCAATTTTTTTACACAACAGTTTTACACAACATAAATTTACACTTCTTTTTTAGAGTGTATGGAATAGCCTATAGCCATCCAAGAAATGACATGGGCACTAAGTATTAAGGTCAAACACCTTCTTAATGTTGCTCCTTTATAGACATACCTTATTTCTGTTGTTTTATTCATATACATATATCAAAGAACATCGTTACGATGGTGTTTGATCTTAAATGTTTATTTCTGATTTAAAATCTAATGTTAATTGTCAAAGAAAATCAAAACTTACAGCTAACTAATTTCATTCATAAGGAAACATTTGTTAAAACCTAAAATTGAATTAATGCGTACAATTCTTTAAATAAGTCAAAAGATTGGACACATTTTTAATTGTTACGTTTCAAGTCACCATCGACGAAATGTTATGACAAAAACATATATACGAATGACAAAAAAACACGAATTTGCTTATGCAATTCAACGCCGATTGCTACACGAGCCGAATTTTACAAATTTAGGACGAATCGGAATGCTAAAAACTTGAATTATACCGAATCTTAAATGAAATCTAGTGGTGATTTTCTGAAATTCAAATTCAGAATTGAGCTTGGCGATGTTCGGCGACGAAATTAAAGTATCGATACAAGGAATTTGTGTGATACAAGTGCTAAACTAACCGGGAAAACCAATAATAAATGTATACCGCAAAACAAGAAAATCAACACTTATTTTGGTACCCGTTTGCTACCAAAGACTGTAGATCGTCAAAGACTGACAACGGTTTGTGAAAACTGATGCAGTTTGAAAAGTTGCAAATTTAAAGATTATGCGAGGAGAAATTGCTGAAAAGCGTAGCCACACTGCCCGTAATTATTGGCCTCCCTATCGACTGCATAAGTGCCCGAACAACGCGCGGGTAATTCAATTCGCATGCCTCCACGCATGCAAGCACTGTGCGATCGATATTCCCTGCCGTTGGTTTCGGGCAGTGTCACAAGTGTCAATTTCCATTCGCGTACTCTTTAGATTTGCAACTTTTCAAACTGCATCATTTTTCATGAACCGTCTATATTGCGAATTGCTAACGTCCATAATCGTCTATTGCACAGACATATTTTAATCGACAGCGGAGGAATTATTGTATTGTGTCTGGTTTGAAACGATTCAGTCGGGGAAAATAGAAATACAAAACTGGATTCATCTTTGTCAAGAAAGTGTGTTGAGTAATAGGCGGAGAAGACAAGGCCATTGTCATGTCAAGCGAACCAGAATCGGATTTAAAATCCAGATCGGTTAATACTGGTTCGGAGTCGCAACCCCCCGAAATGGGAGGGGGTTTCAAAATTAAGCCAATATTATCGAAAATCAGCCATCAATTTGAAGAGTTTTTTTTTTGGGGGGGGGGGGGTTCCGATTAATGATGTGCAAACCCGACCCGAAACCGAAACCGACTCGACCCGAAACCGACTTCGGGTCGGGTCGGGTCGGTTTGTCCATCTTTTCAGTCAAGTCGGGTCGGTTTCGGTTTTGCATTTACATTTTCGGGTCGGGTCGGGTCGGTTTAGCCATCTTTTGAAAAAAAAAACCCACCAAAATAAACCGAAATAAACCGAAACAGTTAAGAAATTCAGGTGATGCAATGTTATTGACAGTCACTGTGACTGCAGCCCATTGTATGGTGTGGCCACCGAGCGCACTATCAAGTTCCCACGGTATTAATTTCTCCAGTGGGATCGGGACTGACAGTGAAATAGATAGATTGTAACAGTTTTCATGATACCGCGCGGTGACCATGCATTTGTTTAATAAGCGGAGTTAATCTCGATCAACTCACTGAGTATGACAGAGAAAGATGATGGTTTTGCAAAAGAATTCATGCCACGTGGGTAAGGGCAGGCACAAAAAAAAGTGATTACTTTGTCCAAGCCAGGTATTCGTTTTTTTCCGGGTTTTTTTTTCGGGTCGGGTCGGTTCGGGTCAGTTTTACCTTATTTTTTGTCGGGTTGGGTCGGGTCGGTTTGAGGAAGTTAAGATCGGTTTCGGTTTGGATTCGGTTTATATCTCTAATGTTTCGGGTCGGTTTGGCCTGGTCGACCAGACCCGATGCACATCATTACTTCCGATACTCTCAAAACACGCTCAGTATCACTGTAATGGTCCCCATGAAAACAAATGTTATTCTCCTTTTGCTGGGCTCAGTGTGGATAAGCAGCTGCATTATCAAATGTTCTCGAGTTGTAAAAAGACGATTTCACAAAACAGAAATAGTATTGGCATATTCTACCCGTCTTTTGCAGCTGGTGTCATAGTTGGTGTACAAATCTTAAATGGCCAGTTTTTAAATCATTTGTCGTAAAGCCCGCCATCACTCAATTTAGAAATCTAAATTAAAAGTCTATTATAATGCATGGTGAGATAGTTTATTGACTGTTTAATGATTAAGACGATATCATTCTCTAATAACTGATGAAAAGGATACGAAAATCCTCGGCCAAAAAGTTAAAAACATTCACGTGCAGCAGCTATAGGACACGTTTCGTGAAATCATTGGAAAGAAGACATACAAGCCGTGAAACGCATTTGTTGGATAAATCTATGGCGTAACTTCCGGACTGTTGATGACATCAACAGTTTAATGTTAGAGAGGAAAAACAAGTTTGTAATAATTTTGATAACGATTTTGCATTTTTCCCCATCATTTTCAGATGTTTCAATTTAGAAGTGGCCATCAAGCCATGGTATCGGGCTGGATCTTATCTGCATTGCTGACAACATTAATTGCTATAGGTAAGTCGGAATCATCAAATTCTTTCAGTTCAAATGTTTTTCATCCCGAGATAGAGCTTGTAAGTCCCACCAGTCCACGTTCACTTTTTATGTGACTAGTCTAGTTACAGACTCAGGTGTTTGAATTTACCCACTTGTTATCCATGTGATCGATTAAACAGAAGTTGAGATCAACAATTTTAATTGTATGATAGTCATCAATTCACAATATCGTCGCAGAGCTGACATACCGACGAATATTAAAGCAAAAACCTTGTTTCGCGTAATTCGCGTTTGAAGTTGGACATTTTGTCTAAGCGCCGTATTTTACCCTCATTGTTTCAATAATAACCCTTTTAGTGTACACTCGGAATAAAATAGGAAACGTAGTATCCATCAGGTCACTTATTTAATCGGAGAAGTTTGTGCGATATGATTTTATTTGATCGTAAACGTACTCGTCAGTTTGTCAAATTACATTAATCTCCAATAGCCGGTTGTTCTTCACAATGTTTGTATGCTATTCGTCAGTTTGTCGGATCGCGCGTTCACGCGCGCACAATCTGACAAACTGACGAATATCATTCGTTGGTACTTAGAACGCACACCTTAAACAAGCTGCTTACCAGCGAATTGTTTGTATACTGTTCGTCAGTTTGTCAGATCGCGCGCGCACGCGCGCGCAATCCGACAAACTGACGAATAACATTCGTTGGTGCTTTAAACGCACACCTTACATAAGCTGGTTACCAGCAAAATTTCGTTTTCGTCACTCTGTCATATTAGGATTTGTTTTTGTGACTGATTCGCCACGGGGGGGGGGGGGGGGCTCCGAATCTCAAAATCTAGACAAAAAATTAAGAAGTTTGGCATAAATACTTGAAAGAGCAACCTTCATAAACCCTAAAAAAAATAACAAAATCTCGAAATCGCCAAAATGGTCGATTCGCCGGTATGTCAGCTCTGCGACGATAATTTCAATGTTATAAATTGTTATACTTTTTTTATTTTTTCGAAATACCCTTTTATTGCCCTGGGTTGGATGGGCCCAGTCAGGACACAACATTAATGCAAAATAATATTGTAACGGAAAGTGTGTGGACTTGAGGCCAGTTTATTGCCTATGCATTTGCTTTGCAGTAGTGTTAGTGCACAAGACTGTGTATGGGTGCGTGACTGGGCGGAGCTTAGCGCCAGTGAGCTGCTGCGTGCATGACATTGGTTAACAAAGCCCCATAGGTACAGTGCATGCATGCGTTCTCTACGGTGTGCATGATTACCAATCGACACGCACGTGACGATTGTAGGGGAGTTGAGCTGCGGACAGCGTGCAGAGAGGAAGTAGGGTTACTTGTGCTCTGCGTTTGTGCAATGATTATGCGCGATTGGTACAATCAATCAGGTGCCGTCTTCTCGCAGAAGGTTGGCTGCAATGGATTTCCATCTGTCTCTGTCCTGAGATGCCCTTGCACATTCCATGTAGCTAAGGCCAGTCCAGTCTCTCACATTATCAAACCACGATGTTCTTCTTCTTCCTCTTGGTCTTTTCCCCTCTATTTTGCCTTCCAAAAGAGTCTTCTGCAGCATTTGGTTTCTCATCATGTGTCCAAAGTAGTTTGTCTTCCTGTATTTTACTGTTTTTATGAGGGATTTCTTTGTCAGTGCTATTTGAAGGACTTGTTTGTTGGTCATTTTAACTATCCAGGGGATGCTCAGCATTCTTCTGTATGTCCACATTTCGAATGCTTCGAGTCGGTTGATTGAATCTTTCGTCAATGTCCATGTTTCTGCTCCATATAGTACTGTTGATCAGATGTAGCATTTGATTAGTCTTAGCCGTGTTTTGATGTTGATGTTTCTTGATGTGAAGATGTGTTTCCTTTTATTAAACACAGATTTGCCAATAGCTATCCTTCGTTTGATTTCATCTTGGCATCGCCCATCTTCCGTTATCATTTGTCCTAAGTAGATGAAGGAGTCGACCTGTTCCAGTTCTTTCCCGTCAACCTGGATGCTGGTTTTAGACTTCCTCTTACTGATGACCATTGTTTTTGTCTTCTTGACGTTCATTTTAAGCCCGAGTTTTTCGCTTTCTTCTTTGATTTTGTCCACAATGTTTTGTAGATCCCTTTCTGTTTTTGCCATGAGGACTGTGTCATCTGCATATCGTAGGTTATTCACATTGAATCCTCCCACATTAACCCCTCTGTAATCTTCAATTTCTCTGAAGATCACTTCTGTGTAGATATTGAATAAGCTGGGTGAGAGTACACATCCTTGTCTCACGCCGTTCTTGATTTCAACAGTGGGGGAGAGTGTGTTGCCAATCTGTATTGCTGCTACTTGATCCCAGTACAGGTTTTCAATCAGTCGGACGTCTTTGCCGTCTAAACCGATTGCTTGCAAGCAGTCGATCATTGCTTTGTGTTGAACTTTGTCAAATGCTTTTGCATAGTCAATGAAGCATACATGAACCTCAGTGTCTAGTTCTATGTGTCTTTCGCTTATTGATCTCATATTGATGATTGCTTCCCTTGTTCCGCTAGAATGTCTAAATCCACATTGCTCCTTCCCAACTTCTCTGTTGATCTTGTTTTTAATACGCTCCAAGATGATCCGGAGTAACATTTTGACCACGTGACTCATCAGACTGATGGTTCTGAAGTCTGTGCAATTCATGGCTTTCATTTTCTTCGGGATCGTCACAAAAATTGATTGTCTAAAGTCTTCAGGGATATGGCCCGTATTGTAGATGTTATTACACAGTTCTGTAAGTGTTTCTAGACTTTCTTTCTCAAGTGCTTTTAGCATCTCAGCAGTGATGCTGTCAGGTCCAGGAGCTTTTCCACATCTGAGTTGATTTATGGCATATTTGACCTCCTGTAGGAGGATCGGTGAGCCATCCTTATTATTGATGGTGGGTTTTGGTTCTCTCTCATCACCGAACAGCTCAGTCACATATTCAACCCATCTGCTTGATATTTCTTGTTGGTCAAAGATGATGCTTCCCTCTTTACTTCTTATGCAGCCAGTTCCTTTGTTTGTTGGTTTTGTGTTTGTCAGCTCTTTGATCCTGTCATACATTTCTTTTGTTTGATGTTTTCTATCCAGGGTTTCGATCTCCTTGCATTTCCTTTGTAGCCATGCCTCCTTTCTCTTTCGGCACTCTTTCTGAATCTGTTTGTTAATTGAGTGATATTCCGCTGTGTTTTTCTTCTTTTTCCTTTCGGTCATGAGTTTTAGGATATGATCCGTCATCCACGGTTGCTTGGCCTTTCTTTCCTTCCGGTGAAGAGTTTCCTCATTGGCATGTTGTATACTTTCTTTTATGTTTTTCCATTGTGCCTCTATCCTGCCTACGTCGCTTTCATGTTGTTCGGTGTCTTCCTTTAGCAGTGTCTCAAATCTGTTCTGTACCTCAACTGCGTATGAATGCCGCATGTCTGGTTGTTGAAGAGTAGATAGATCATATTTCTTTGTGCCGTAGCTTGGATTTTGTGTTTTCTTCACTTTCAATGCAATTGTCGCCACTACTGGGTTGTGGTCTGAGTAGATGTCTGCTCCAGGGTATGTCTTTACCTGTTTGAAGCTGTTTTTAAATCTGCCTCTGATCTGATGAAGTCTATCTGGTTCCGGTACATGTCTCCTGGACTTGACCAGGTGTATAATCTTCTTTGTGGGTGTTGGAAAAAGGTATTCCCAATAACTAGATTGTGCTCCTCGCAGAATTGTATTAGTCTTTCTCCCCTGTCGTTTTGTTCTCCTAGGCCATATTTGCCTGTTGTGGGTGGTTGGTGTGATCTGCCAACTTTGGCGTTGAAATCTCCCATGACTATAAGTACATCACTTGATTTAACTTGTCTGATGGTGTTCTCTATTATTCCATAGAAGTCTTCGATCTCGTCGTCAGAATAATCTTGTGTTGGTGCGTACGCCTGTAAGATGGTTATGTTGAAAGGTTTTGCCCGTATCTTTACCAGCATTATTCTTTCGTCGACTGTCCAATTTCCCATGAGGGATTCAGTGATATTCTTCTTGAGAAGCATTCCAACTCCATGCATGTGTTTGGATCCACCAGAGTAGATAAAACTGTGACTGTCTTTGTCGACGTAACCTGCTTCTATCCATCTGGTTTCACAGACTCCAAGCACATCAATGTTCATATCCTTTGCTTCTTGAATCAAATTATCAAGTTTACCTGGTTTGTAAAGACTTCTCACATTCCAAGTCGCGATTCGCAGGTGCTTCTGTCTGGTTTTCAGGTAGATGCCGTCGGATAGGGGTCTATCGTCATCAAGGTCTACCCTATTCTCCAGATGATACACCTCTTCCCTGTGGTTATTTACAGCAAGTTCTATTGCAGGGGTCCCAACTTCACCTGCATCTCGTGTTTCTTTTAATTCTTGGTCCATTGCAAACTATGGATTGATACGTGGTGAGGTCCCAAGCTCTTCCACGGTGGTTGGCCGCTTCGCATTATACACGCCTTGCTGCGCCCCTGGTGTACCACACACATGTCATTCAACTTGTTGCCGTTGACCACAGTTGTTGGTTCTTCCGCCAGCTATTTTATAATTATTGAATATCTCACGCATTCGTATTATTTTGAATGACAAATGACAGCGGAGAGGAGACTTTAATACTGAATGAATTGCAATGTTTAAGGTGTAGTGGTTATGATGATTTTGCAAGATGTTTCCGTCGACCCTGAAGCAAACGGCCGTAGAAAACAATTTTGTTCGTGTTAGCTTCAAAATGATCCATCTTTACGTCAACATGTTCCTGAAGTATGTGAAGGCAATATGACGTTTGCGGCACTATAGTACTGTGCCAAACGTGAATTTGGTACCGGTAGCGATTCCACGATTCTTGCCCGCTAACGTACACGGGTCACCGTTTTAAATGCCCTCCTTTTATCGCATTCGAATTTACGCCACCCATTAATGTTATTTTCTTAAGCAAAAAAGGTCTAGATATGTTCAATTTTAAAGCCTGCAGCATTTTAGAGTTTTGTTATATACAATAATAAAGGTTCGACGGTAAAACCGCTTACAACATAAGTCGCTTCATTGCTGGGCAGCATGATAAATATTCGATTCCAGAGTGTACGCCTGCCGTCTTGCGCTGCACTTAATTGTTTTAACTCGTCATGAAGTTCAGTTCAAATTGTTTCTCATGTCTTGATTTTGAAGTGGTCAGTTCGGTCTCGGCCCGAGTCTGCACTCTGATGATTGACCTAGACTCCCGCAGTTGCGGACAGCGCATGGGGAGATTTGTTCTGCCACCGGGCGATCCTTGCACCTGTACAGGGGTCAGACTGGGCGGTCATTACCACCGCTTCGCACCTGAGATGCAGGGGCAGGATCCACCGTTGTATATGGACATGCTGCCGGAGGTGACTGCTGAGGTCATTCACTGTTGGTTCAACTGCACCTCGAGCAAACAGGAGGAGTCGACGCACGGAGTCACTGAAACCGCCCCAGAGTCGACTTCCAAAGCTGTCCCAGGATCGACACCTGTCGTATCGACTCCTGTTGACACGACACCAGTTAACGGCGCCACCACAGAGCCGACCGAGCATCCAGCAGATTGTCAAGAGATCTTGGATGCTGGTCAGAGCACTAGCGGTGTGTATACTATCCAGCACGGAGGCCAGAATATGCAGGTCTACTGCCGCATGGAGCCGGGGAAAGGATACATAGTGAGTAATATTCATGTGACCATGCTGTATTTTAGAAGTGTAAAATGGTTTGAGGGTGTATTCCCAATTTCGCACCCAGAGGTATATCTAAAGTGAGAATTTTCCGAGGCAAACCTTCCAATATCGAGTACTGTGTCAGGTGTTTTGCGAAAGAAAAACGATCTAACCACTACAGTATGGAACTGAGTGAACGGGAAGTGGGAAGCTGTACAAGGCAAATGTTTCATCTGTTCTTGTCAGTCGTAAATTGTCATTAAAATCCCCCTCCCCCAAATACGATTCTAACGACGGGAATTAAGCGCTTTCCAGCTTCACATTCTCTCCAGCCAAAATAACATGAAATATTCCCACTATAAATAGTCTAATTGCGGTACCCGCTGCTACATGCACATCAGATTCGAATCAGGCAACCGTTCCCGCAAGCTCGGTGGTCGAGTGGTAAAGACGTCTACACTAGAAAGCAAGAGGTGGTGGATTCGAGTCCCACCCGAGTTTTGTTTTCCAAATTTCATTTGAGCGGTAACATACTGAGTATACGGTGTTTATACATCGGTGAAAGGCAACCAACTTTATTTTGATTTACATCACCCCGGAGCAAATTCGTCTTATGAATAACATGAAATATGTCCGGTTAATTTGTTTTTCTAGTCGATGTATGAAATGCCCGTCATTTATTGGTGTTCGACTTGTATTCTGAAATGTAGGTTTTCAATAGTTTAAAAAGTCTTTTCCAAACTAATTGTTAAACCCGAACAAAGGTATAAGCGGAGGTGGAAAACATGCCCCAGTTTTATCGTCACTGATATCATATCTCACAGGTGTTTCAGAGACGCCTGGACGGCTCGGTGAGCTTCAACCGAACCTGGCAGGAGTACGCCGAGGGATTCGGGGATCTGCCTGGAGAGTTCTGGCTGGGCAACAAAAAGCTGCAAAGTCTGACGTATATCCCCGGACAACTGAGATGGGAGCTGGTCATCACTCTGAGGGCGTTTGATGGGGATGAGGCACGTGTTCGTTATGGGGAATTCAACCTATTCCAATTGGAGTACAATTACCCGCTTAATGTCTTTAGCTTCAGCGAGGAGAGCTGCGAAGATGAAGGTACATTCAGTATCCTTCCCTGTAGAACCTCTCCTATCACACATCATGTCTTGCACTGTTTTCTACGAGATAATTCAACTGAGCTGTTCTCATCTAATCATTCCAAAAGGAGACAAAAACCCTCATTTATTTTTTATCTGCAGGCAAAAGTAGGTACATTGCTTCCCTATCCCCAATGAATGCTTCATTCCACCGCTTGTCTAATACCATAACACACGAGTTAACATACAACGGAACACGTTAAAAAATATGTAGCGTAAGAAAAAGAAAATCAGGGAAACGTGAAACTCTTCAAAAACAGACGATGGAAACTCATAAAGTGGATTGGAAGCGGCATTGAAACTGTTCATCATTTTTTTTCGTTATTCATGCAGCATTTAATCAGTAATGTCACCATGAACAGATTCAAAATACCCAGTCAAAAAAAAGGGGGGAAAGCTGGCAGACCATGTCTAAAGAAATAAATCAAAAAGAAAGAAATAAGTTCAAATGTCATTTTTAGTGGTCCCTTCGTGAAAGTGTTAATGCAGCATTCGTCACCCATTAATGAACTTGTGTGCAAGGTCTGATGATCCTTCCTTTCTTATGCAAACAGGTGATTCACTCACCTCTCACGATTTTTCCTCTCTAGTGCCTGCAGGTGATTCACTAAGCGATCACTCACGCGCAGATTTCTCAACTCGAGATGCTGACAACGATATATCCTCCGGGGAAAACTGCGCTGAGAAATTCCACGGAGGCTGGTGGTACTACCGCTGCGGAAGCGACATCAGCTACCACTTCAAGAGCAACCTGAACGGCTTGTACTACAACAACGCAGCAGTCGATGATTACATGGGGATACAGTGGGTCACCTGGAAGGGTAAACAGGTCTCTCTCAAAGGCTGCGAAATGATGACGCGACGCATACAATAACCGGTGACACAACATATTGACAGAAAATAGAGCAACGCGGGGGATAGAGGAGTCCCAGTTCGGAGTATTTTTGATAGCAAAAACATGCACTTGATACAGTGTGTATAAAAAAAATTCAAACCGAATATAAGTGAATGCCAGACGAAGTTTGTGTAACCAACATAGATATTATAAATGGTTTGAAAGATACGTCTTTTCACTTAACGATGACACATCAAACATCCAATCCGATAATTATTGACGGAGTTAGTAACTTTTCAAGAGAGGTCCAATTGACCATGGGACCAAGTTTTTAATTTCAGGCATTGGGACAAAGGTAGCCTAATTGCCTCTGTGTGGATATTTGACTGGCCTACACAAATGTCTTTAGCGAGTAAGCACAATTCTAAACACTTTCTTGCTATCACCTCATATAAAAACATGTTTAGCATGTCATCATGTTTACACACTGATAGCAAGACAGTGTTCAGAATTGTGTTTATTCTTTAAACACATATTCTTGTAGGCCAGGTAATTTCCTCACAAGGATATTAAGCTATATCTTTGTCCCAATGCCAAAAATTGAAAACTTGGTCCCAAGGTCAATTTGACCTCCCTTGGAAAATTACTCATAAATCTGTCAAACATTATCGGATTTGGACGTTTGGTGTCTAATTTTTAAGGAGAAAAGGCATATCTTACAAACCATACCTATGTTATCGATTTTGGTTACACAATCTAAGTCTGGCTTTCCGTTATATTTTGTTTGTATTTTTTTGATACACCCTGTATAAGGCTTTAAGGCATACACAAAAATCGTGGCAATTAAACCATAAACATCGCAAACCATTGTGGCAAACCATAATCCACGGGTTTACCCTTAAATCATTGTTTCAAAATTCTGTCTACCTAAACTATCGAATATCGATGTTTTAAAAATGGCCTCTTCATCTACTGATTTCGATCGTAAAACGGCAACAGTCGCGGGGTATATTGACATCATGACCGTGTTGACCGAATGGTCTTGCATTTCCCATGATGTCCCGAGCTCAACACGGTCATGACAGAATTCAATTGCCATTGGATATCTGAAGATGGCAATACTATAATATATTATATACATGTATAGTATACATGTATTATATACATGTATAGTGGTTGCATAAGTCATATAGTGGCGGTATTAACCCATTTGAGATATGGCGGACACAATAGGAGGGCGCTATTTGATTTGGGTATATAAGGACTTTACCCATATCAAACAGCGCCCTCATATTGTGTCTGCCTTATCTAAAATAGCCTTATTATCAAGTGTTACAATTAATTTACAAGTTTTTAAGTGACAAGTATTTTCAACAGAAGTGAAAGATATAAACGGAGAAATACAATCAAAGAAGTGGAGGTGGGCTGGTCATCTAGCTAGGAGACCAGATGACAGGTGCAGGGGCTTAGTAAGGTCATTTTTATAAGGGTTACAATTTCTTGAAAAGGGCCCTTCACATTCGTGCTGAAATGTATACAGGTTTTGTTTTTTCCCCCGACACTAAGCCTCCGTAAAATCAAATAGTGTGAGGGGGGGGGGGGGGTACCATCTGCCAATGGGGGCGCTGTTCAAAACCGACTATTATGAACACTAACGGAAAATATATGATGCTTTTCAGGGCGATGCATGCGCGATATTCACAAAAAGGCACCCGTAAGGCCAAACAAAAAAGTCTCCGGTTTCTGGTATGGAGCTTGCCCCAAAAGTGGTGCGGCGACGCGGCTTTTTTTTTTTGACCTGTTTTATTTTATTTTTTTGCTTCAAATGTCGGCTGATGACTGCAACTGGTGCCCGACTAAACTTAGTGCAAATATATGAGAGTCCAGAGAGGCCACATAAAGCTTATTCTCGATCATCTAAAAACACGTTTAAATTGTGCAGCAGCAGGATTCCAGTCAAACCAGTGAGTTTGGCGGTTTTTAGACAACATCTTGTATTGAAAAAAAAAACGTTTTCATTTTGCCGACGCACATGGCTACGGCGACGCGCGCGCATACCAGAAACCGGAGACTTTTTTTGTGGCCTAACGGCCATTTGCACAAAACGGTAAATAATTCTTTTGGGCACTTGTTTACACAAGAAGGGCATTCTTTACAAATATTGAGGCGGTAAGTAATGGTGAAAAAGGCATATGAATGGAAGAGGGCAATCTTCACAAAATACTGGGGGACCCCCCCCCCCTTGCCCCCGCCGCTGTCTACGCCTATGAGGTGGACCTATAAGCTGACGCTCTGGATCCCTAGAGCATATACCAGAGGGATGGGCAGACAAAACAGAAGGTGGATAGATGACATCAGAGGATATGGTAGCGTACGTTACATGGAAGGGAACAGAACATGACAGAGTGAAATAATGATACAAAGACTCCCATATCATAGACGTCGTGCTTTGCTACTGCCATCATTCGAGACTGATGTGAAAAATATCCAGAAATGACGGTTTGCGCTCAAAAAGAGCGCAGGCCCTTTTGTGAAAGGTCACAACGCGGCCATTTCATACGGAAAAGGTTTTATATGAGGGTGAGGCAATCCCGAGCGCTTGACGGCAATTAAGTATTTTCGGAGGTCTGGTCTGCGTCATTTTTCGCGCGATCAGGAAAAATGAGTTGTTTGTTCAGGTTTCTGGAGCGCGCAAGCATTGCCACTCAAGGCGCTTGAGAGGCCGCTCAGTTTCGGTTTTGTGTTCGCTTGAGAAAGTCGTAGTTGGTATCAATATGTTAAATGTTTTTGGATATTGTGAAAAATAGTATTGTTGTTAATTTTTACTGCGTATTGGACAGCGTGTTCAATTTGTTCATATATCCATTTCTTTTTTAAAATGTGATCAGCTCCAATAAAAACAGTCTCAAGTTGATATGTACTTGAAACATTTTACATGGAATTTTAAATGATTTTTACCCTCATTATTATCACTGTGATGTTGTGATACATCAAAATGAAGCGCTGCGTTTTTTGTTAAAATAAAAAAAATAGGACAAATTATTGGACAAGAACTCCCAGAGACTTCTTTTTAGGATGTGGTCACATTTAACGTATTACAATTGTCAAAACATTAATAGGCAGAACTATTGTACTTTGTAGCAAAAATGAAATTAAATTGTATCGGGTATTGTGAATTTTAGTATTGTGGTGATTAAACAAAATGTAGCCAACGTGTTTGATATTTTCATAGTATAATATCGATGTTATATATTTCCATTAAAATTCAATGTGAGCCAATACAATGAGTTTCCAAAGCTAATCTGGAGCTTTATCCCCCTGTCAGGTATGTTACACTTTTAAAATTGTTACACTTTTTAAAATTTCCATTTGGATCCCGACTAACGCCTTGGTCCAATCGTCCATGTGAGGTTTCGGGGTTGGTGCTCATTGTGCTAATAGCCTAAGCTGACCTTAATTAAAACTCGTTTTCTTATTGGTCGATCGTTGAGTGGAATTTTACATATAGTTAGCGAGCGGCACCGACGGCGAGACATGACTGTACATAATACACACACGTTTTGTATGGATGTCTCACACAATACAAACATCACCGTTTTACAAAAAAATGTGGTGTCTGACACGTCCGCAAAGGGCGAATAGCGGCAAATGATTCGATGAAGTCAAGATTTACCAAGGTGTAATTGGACACTCCACACATAAGCCCCGCCTACACTTATCAGTATTTGCATATGAGGTCGTGCGCTGGAAATCTAGCGGAAAAAAGAAAGAAAAAAAAAAAAGTTTCAAGGACGATTGGACCAAGGCGTTCATCGGGATCCAAATGATTTGCATAAAATAGTGGCCGCATGAGGCCACTAATATTGCGTTCGATTACTTAAACCGCGCTTACTCGTGCAAGCGAGACAGCGTTCGATTTACGTGACTTCTCGCGCTTACTTGAGCCTGGGTAACCGACTCGCCTAGCCGGTTACTTGCGAAAGTATCCCAAAAAGGCCATGCACTAAACAGGGCTGCCAACGTGACGTCTGGCGGGCGCCTCAGTGTCATGTCAAAGTTCAACTTTCCACCTCTTGCACGAAACTTTACCCGAAACCGTTCGTTTATTTAGCTCCGCTACGCATGTCTGTCATCACGCGAGGATCCAGAGGCGAGTAAGCTGGGGGACGTAATCGAACGCACTCAAAATACGCTGTATTTTTAATGCACTGCTACCACTACTTTTATCTGATGAAATCTGAAAGTATCCTTATATTATACCAAACGAAGAAAACCGTCTATAATAAATTTGATGAAAAGATAAGATTGAGAGAAAAAATCCCGTGCCTGATTTTACTGTATACATGAACAGTGGATGAACCATCGTTCATTCTTTTGTACGAATGATATACCCTGTTGTGGAATATCTGAACAATAAACACAATGCTTTGGCCATTGATGGGGGCTTCTATGATAGAAGTAATAGAGTGCCCGGATTGGTCTGGACTTCAACAAGAGCCTGGGTTAATTTTACCCAAGACTCGGAAAGGATGAAAACTGCAACTACCCAAACTTGGGGGTTGTTCTATAACCAATTATTTGGGTTAAAATTCCTGCTAAATTTTACCAACATTTATGGTCATTCAAGACTAAATTTAATGAGGAGGAGTGGGTACAACAATTGATACATGTACTACAGTTTGTACACGTATTAATCTATGTAATATACCTGCCTTTTGGTCGATATTTTTAGTGCATGAAATTCAATAAATATATGTGTATGTTTAGAAATAGACGCCTATCTCACCTGTGATGGTTTCATGTCATTTTGTAATATAAAGTTATACTGTATGTGAAGCGCAAAGTAAGAGTTTGAAATAGAAATTAACAAAAAGAGTGGGGAGGACGCATAATTTCTTTTATCCCATTACATATACATTTTTTAAAAATGTACAAATATTCACCATATTATTATTCCTACCACGGAACAGCGCTAAGATATTGCTTTCCAACACCCATTTTATGTATAAAGTAAACCGTACACACTGGAAGGAAAAAGC